CTCAAACACTACATGACTTTTGACACGTACAGGAAGCCCTTCCAATGCAGTTCTCGTTTGACATGCGCTGTCAACTTTACTTTTTGTTGCTTCGCCTCTTTTTGATCTCAATGCCTTGCCACATAATAAATATCTTATTAACCTCATTTGTTCGGTCCGTACCGTAAGTTATGGATCCTCGTTTTTTCCACTTTTTTATGGCCCGCGCGCTACGCGCTTGGGCCATAAGGCAGTGGAAAAAACTCGGTCCATAACTTACGGTACGGACCTCGCACTCGGTTAATAAGAGCTATTTATTTCTCTCGGCCTCCCAAGCCGCGCTCATGAAGAAATAGAAAACGCGCACGCGTGCTGTGTGCAGTTATAGAGCACGCGGGGGCTGGCAGAACACGAGAAAAGATGCTTTATAACTCCACGCAGCACAGCAAGCAAGTTTTTTATTTCGTTTATAAAATACCAATTACTACATGAATGACGAAACTGACAGTACGCGAGCGAGCTGTGTGCTCTCATAATAAAGCACGCGCTCCCAACCAATCAGAACGCGAGATTTAGATTTAGATTTAGACAGTTATTTTATAATARATATTGAAAGACAGCCAAACGTCTTCACGTACAGTAAAAACATTCACAGCACTTCACTTTATCTAATTAATTTATTTTATAAAACATATAACTCCACCACAGGGAACCCGGCTAYATATTTTTTRCYCCTTTTAGAAAGTAACTTTGCTCTTTGTGGGTTTCCTGTGTCGTGATGGGTTTCTAGACTCTTYCACAGTCTCTCGCTCGTCCTTTCCGTCTCCACGCTTAGAGACTGTAACGGTACAATGACCGAAAGGACTTATGGGTCCCGAAAACTTGGACCCAGCGTGCTTTGGGAACCAAAATACTCGTCCACAGTCTCTCTCGTTTTCGCTGCCATCTTGAAAATATTGAAACGAGAGAGACTGTGGACGAGTATTTTGGTTCCCAAAGCAMGCTGGGTCCAAGTTTTCGGGACCCATAAGTCCTTTCGGTCATTGTACCGTTACAGTCTCTAAGCGTGGAGACGGAACGGACGAGCGAGAGACTGTGGAAGAGTCTAGATGGGTTTCTTATTACATAAGCTGTAATCAGATCTGCGCTGTGGGATCAGATCGGCGCTGTAAACTGATAGCCGATTAAATTCAAATCAAATAACCGTTGGTAACGCACTCTCTAGTAAACACTCAAAAGAAGTTTATTCATTGAGCAAACATTTCGTGGGTTTTTTATTAATAAATTACCTTCATGAATAATTTGGACAGGGGTTTTAAAATCGRACACTTGCTTTGTTGCATCCCTTCTCTTCTTTTGACTGGCTACTAGAAAGTGCGTTACACACCACAGGCAACCCATAAGAAACAAAACATCAACGGTTATTGATTTGAATTTAATCGGCTATCAGTTTACAGCGCCGATCTGATCGCACCGCAGATCTGATTACAGCTTATGTAAAAGGAAACTGATCACAACACAGGAAACCCACAAAGAGCAAGTTACTTTTCTAAAAGAAGAAAACAAATATAACCGGGTTCCCTGTGACTCCACTCGGAAAGGTGCCCTATTTCATAATGACGTCACGGTTTGTTTACATCGGCTAAGATGATAGAAATTTAGGCTAGATTTAAGCTTAATTCTCTTCTTTCGAGATATTTAGCGTAATATTTAGTTGTTCTTGCCTTCACCAGCTCATAAACCAACTTTCATTGTGATTTAAGATGTGTTGTTGTCATTCCACYCCCCTTCAGAGACCATGATCCCTAGCGTTAAAACAATAGTTTGTTTTGATGTGACGTCATTATGAAATAGGGCAATTAAATCTAAATAACTTTTTCATTTAGTTTAAGCTTGATCTTCGTTATAAATCCCACTTTTGACACAGTGTTTCGATGAATYTGCGACTATTCTGTTGAAGCCATGTTTTATAGACGCAGTCTCATATGCTGCCTGTCGTTCAATATTTGGAATACTAGAAGTCGTGGGTATATCGTAACAGTCTTCGTTTCTGAAAAKTTAAAGGAGCACGTACCGTCTACTCTAACTTGCGAATACCCAAAAGTAAACTATTGATGGTTTTCACAGTCGYCATAAAGGATGAATTTAACAAAAGTTTCGTCATTAGTCTCTTAGTCTCTCTGTTATAGCATTCAACCTGCCTGCCGTGTCTTTTGTTATTTAAWTCCCTTGAGAATGAATGAAAACTGTCAATTGCTTACTATCAATCACGTGACTTTTTGGAGTTGACTGGGGGGCAAACAAGCGGTTGACTGGGGGGCAACTAGCGGATGCTAAGTCAAAACATATCAAAATAAGTCCTCAAACTATTGCATTTGACTATTTTCACGACATCAAACCAGAAAACAAGAGATCAAAACAACCTCCAGGATTCTACAAGCCATCAAAAAAGAGCTATTACCGGAAGTGACGTCTATTGATAGCAACCTATAGGCCAAGGACCGCCGACCAAGAGGGGGGTTATCAAATCTTCAAGTCTCATTCGTTCCCTTAAATTAGCCTTATACTCATACTCGTCTACTATATTTACAAAACTAAGCTCCCCCTCCCGCTTTCACGGGGGAAGAGGTGGGGGATTTGACGGTCCTTGTAGACTGGTTTTCTCTTCAGCGGGGAACCTCGCCACCACACACCAGGTGGAGGGTCATAAAATGTTGACATTTCTTCGATTATTATCTCCCAATTTTACGAAGCATGCGCAGTTATGATTTGGGAGAACTTGAGACACAAACACGGCCGTACAACATGCTGTAACATTTTTAAACAATTAAATGGCTTCAAGAATTTCATCATTTTTAGCCTATTATCCAATGGTAGCGCGTACTTTTGATTTGTAAAGTAAAATCCAGTACAGCTATATATAGRAACTCCCTTTATCATGCTAACAAATACATATTTCTGTACCCATTCGAACTGGTTTGAGTTAATGGGTCAATGAAGCAAAGATATAGGAGGCCTATCTCCTTAATCCACATCGCGTTTGCAATGCAGCTTGCAATCTTTTTACACTGCAAAATAAAATTGAACTAAAAAATCCTCAACAGTTCTCTTTTTAATGGTAGTGCATATACAGGTGCACGCGAGTCTCTTCTGAATGTGTCCTCAACATTTGTAGATGGACTTTTCTACCGTAGGATCCAGCTTTTTCTTCGTRTGACTTGGAACGTTTTTCGGGGCGTACAACTCGAACTCATTGCCTTTAAGTGACTCATCAACAGACTTGAAATCGTTGTCGTCAACAAAAAGTGAAAGAAATTTGTTATCTATTTTCACGAGCTTCTTATACCGAGGTGGTTTCCATAGAACTTGAAGATGGCTTTTTCCGCGCGCTTGTTTATGTAAAACTTCAATGTAGTACTTTYTTCCAGCTTTGAGCTGAATTCCTCTGGATATCTGTGAAGGATATTTTTGGAAATCGCCCGTTTTGGTCCATCCTGTACCCTTGGTAGAAAACACTGTCGCAATCAATCGGGCATTTTTCGGATCGATGTCGGTACTAAGCCAGAGCTCGGAGGAATCATCCGAAGCGATGGCGAATTGGTAAAATCCCTCTGCCATGGAATGAATGTAACCAAAGATTCTTTCACCATATTCAATATCTTCGAATTCCGCTTTGAACCCGGTAACAAATCGTCGATGACTCGGAAACCGAGGAAATAACGGAGACTGTCGGAGCTGTTCGACGTAAGGGCCACAAATTCGATCCCATATGTGGACGTTTAACTTCCCTGACATAAAATCAGGAATAACTTGTTCAAAAAAGGCGGTCAACAGCTCATGGCCTGTTACACAATCACTTTTCTCTTTGAATTCAATCCTTCCCTCGTCAGGAGTATGTGGYTTCGGAGTGACAATTACTACATTTTGATAGACACGCGGAGTGACCCGTGGTTTTCGAGTGACTCGCAATCTTTCCAGTCCGCGCGCTTCATATGGCGTGGATCCATAAACAAGTTTCTCAGGCTTATGATTTCGAAGCCCTGCGATGTGATCCCGAATCCAGTCGATGCGAGGTCTGTGTTTCTCGGTTAAGTTAAGCAACGYATTTAATAACTCAGTCTCTTTGCCAACTGCGTCGTTGGACACTGCTGCACTATTTGCTCTTACTTGATTTTTATAAAAATTAGATCGTTTTAGCATCAGAACCGGATCAACATCACGTGCCCAGRCCAAGATTATCCACACCGCGGTGGGAAAACAGACCAATATGAATGCGCTTTTCCAGAAGTTGCAGTATCGACCTGCTTCTCGTTTGTAYTTTATCAACATGCTGTAGAAAACCCACCGTTTATTAAACCGCTTCAGGGCGCGTAAAAAAAGTCCGTTTCGGTCCTGATTTTCGGTGTTAAAATTGCTGTACTTGATCAGTCTGTAACATTAACTGCTACAAATCAACATCTTTGCTCTCTTCTCTTRGACTTCTGATTGGCTTGTTAGTAGACAGAGATATAGGGACGTAGAATTTTGGAAAATAACTCTCAAATGTTTTGTTCTTTAGGTGGTATACTGGACAGTCTGTGAAGTGTTGTAGCGAACTGATAATGGTGATCCATTAGCCCATTTTTACGAGATATTTCTTACTGGTCAGACATGAATAACCTTACGACAACATAATCCCCGATGCGCTCAGTAGAGCGATTGGCATCCATGATTACCAAGCGTTAGAGATCTTCCGTCATGGGTCGCTGTTTCTCATGCTTGAAAAACTTCCTATACCTGCTGCCTTGTGAATTTTCTTCCACCGTGTAAAAAAATGACGATATTTTAAATCTTTTAACTATATCCATTTTATCACTGATTTGTTTTTAGTTTTTACTAGCTATTTTTAATTCATATTCCTAACATCAAGAAGTCTGTTTTTGCATTTCTCACCTTTTTGGCAATGAAATATTCCCCTTGAATGACATTTCACGATGAACTCACACAATATTGAGTTTCACTGACCCATAAATGATGGAATATTTGTGAAGTTTTGCAACAAGATCTTTGAGTAAAGCCGTGTGACTAAGTTCATAGCAATCGTGACCAAGTCAGTGAACGATAAACACATCGACTAGAGATCGGGCGTGTCTCATCCAGCCCTTGTTTTATACTTGGAGCATAAAATAGYAACAGAATGAAAAAGCAGATCTGTCATTTATCATGTAACAAAACACCTTGAAACAAAACCAACAGTTTTTCTACCATATTCAAAAATTTATAACTGACACCTAAAGATTCACTTAGACCAAACTATTCAAAGTGTTTTGCGATTTTGTTTTTCCTTTAAGTTTATTTTCATTGTGCATGTCGTGTTATTATGCATTTTTTCTTAATTTATGTATTTTTGTAATATAATCTGTAATYAGGTTTTTCCTTCTCTACTTTGAAAACATTGTAAAATTAAATCTGTGTAATCTCCCTAGATGAGCTTTTTTAAAGCTCTTGGAGAAAATGCAGAGAACAAATATGTTTAAATTAAAAAAACTTATCATGTATGATAAACAGAAACGTTTTAACTGACTTCTAGCTTCCCTTAATGAGTGTTTATTTTTCTTATTTTACTTTTAAGTTAGCTGTTCTTAAGCAGTGTCTACCACGACCATGATTCGTTTATGCTTGCATTTCACAACAAGAGATATATCTGTAAGTGACAAAATTAACAAGGTCGCGGGGGACCAATCATGATGATGTAAAAATTTTAGGCACATTGATTGTCCTATTACATGTGAGCTGGTTTCTTCCCTGACTTTGATCAGCCCAGAGRTTGTTTCAGGGTTCAATCTGTGGTTTAGAAATGCCCTCAAGACTTTGATCAGCCCAGAACTTGTTTCATGGTTCAATCTGTGAGTTAGACATGCCCTGACTTAGATCAGCCCAGAACTTGTTTCAGGGTTCAATCTGTAAGCGTTAGACATGCAAGGGCGGATCCAGGGGGAGGGTCGGGGGGGTCGCGACCCCCCTGTCATTCCTGAGGTCAAATGGGATTCCTGTGGTAAAAATGCGACTGGGATTCCTTTGCCTACAAAATTTACCCCTGAGACCCCCCCTTCAAAAAACCCTGGATCCGCCCTTGACATGCCCTGACTTTGATCAGCCCAGAAATTGTTTCAGGGTTTGATCTGTGAGTTAGTCATGCCCTGACTTAGATCAGACCAGAGTCTGTTTCAGGATTCCATCTGTGAGTTAGCCATGCCCTGACCTTGATCAGCCAAGAGGTTGTCAACCTCGTTGAATATAAACTACTGGATGTCTCCTTTTGATGTCCCTGTCAGTTTTGTGCATGGGTACCCTATGTCCAATATCCCTCYAATGATGGCCACAAATATTTCATATATGTTATACTAATAGGGTCTCCACGTATAATGCATGTAGACAGTGAAAGTTAAGGCTGTAAAGGAGGCGATGTGACAGACAGACAGCTCGTGCTCTTTGATGGACAAGGACCTTGGTAACCGTTGAACTTGTGACCAAATACCGTAGTAGGTTTGCYATAAAGGTACCGCTAGTTCAGCGCAGAATGTAGTAGTTTTTAYCTATGCAAACTTCTATTCCATGAGTCGCTGCATCCATGCTTCTGACTCAGACAATCTATAGCAAACCAATCACTGTTGCAGCAGGTTTCCCAGTGGGAATCAAAATCTTGTCCCACAAATGAAAAAGCCACAATTATAGAGCTTATCAACTAATTCATAAACTTAGCACTTGAAGTTAGTCAGTACAAGRCATTCATATGGAACATGAATCTGATCCAGTCGATCAGAGGTGTTATTGCCTGTTAAAGTAARTCAGGTGATTCTTGAACCGACAAGGTGTGAGCAGGTGTTTGAATCCATGGTCAAGTCATATTGGGAGTCTTCAGGTTGAGGGATAAAAGAAAAAAAATCGGTTAAGGGATCAAAGGAATCGACATATGAATTAATTCAGGGGTAAAAGAAAAAGTAATATTTTAACTAGAGACAACGGTCTTGATATCTATCTAYGGGGATATCTCCACAGAGTTATCACGATAACGGGTCACARAAYCTCTTGATAGTCATGCCTCTATGCYAACAAACACATWTAGCAGGATCATGAAWATTGGTGCAAAGGATCAAGTGGTTTTGAACGACTCAATAGCTAATAAAGAGACTGAACTTTGCCAAGAGGAAAGAGTTTGTGTAAACGGTTAAGCTTAAATAACGTTGGGCAAAGGTCGTTATCACATCTATTGAAATTCCACACCAGGAAGAGAAGGCCAGGCAATAAGTTGAAAAAGAAGAAAAGAACGAAAGAAAGAAAACAAGAATGAAAGAAAACAAGGATGAATGAATGTAAAAAGAACTCTTTTATATCTAAAAATTGTCACAGGCAATTAACAAATCCACGGGAATCAAATAATCTTATTCGCTTATGAAATCATATATATATATATATTAGAATGATTCCTTTCGGGCGTCAAAGTCTATTGTGCTTGGATGTGCCCAGTGTTCATTATTTACTGCATTGGCTGTTTATATTTTATTTTCCTTGTCAGAAAATGCAGAAATTGCACAATAGAACCCCAAATTCTTCACGTCACGCGGGTCAAAATCGAATGGATCCAAATAGAGAATAAATTGGGTTAAAATCGAATGGATCCTATTAGCGAATAATACGGGTCAAAATCGAATGGATCCTATTAGCGAATAACACGGGTCAAAATCGAATGGATCCTATTAGCGAATAACACGGGTCAAAATCGAATGGATCCTATTAGCGAATAGCACGGGTCAAGATCGAATGGATCTTATTAGCGAATAACACGGGTCAAAATCGAATGGATCTTATTAGCGAATAACACGGGTCAAGATCGAATGGATCTTATTAGCGAATAACACGGGTCAAGATCGAATGGATCCAATATTCATAAAGTATCTGCTGTGATGCTGTTGGAGCGTCTCGTTAAACTGTACAATGGGTTAAAGAGCTATCTAACTGACCGCTCTGAATCAGTACGCATTGGCTCAACAATATCTASGCCGTTATCAATTACTCACGGAGTACCACAAGGTGCAATTTTATCTCCTTTACTGTTCTGTATCTTCCTAAATGACTTGCCTTCTGTTTCCAACTCTTTAAGACGATACTAAAGTATGTCTGACTTTCAATTATCTCCACATTGCTAAGTGATGCTGCGAGAGGGATTACTCATTAATCCGGATAAAACCAGTTTCTCGTTTTTGGAACAGCGACATCTACTACAAAATTCGCCGACCAACTTGTCTTATTCCTTCGTTGGAAAAACCCTCACTTTCCTCAAAGTCAGCCAAAGATCTTGGTGTAATCCTCGATGCACAACTTACTTACGATGAACATGTATCCAACGTAACATCTTCCTTTATGTCAAAACTCTGTCAAATCAATAGGGTTAAGAACAGTTTTGATTCTAGAAGACTCACTCTCATCATAAATTCACTTGTTATGAGCAAATTAGTGTTGTACTGTTGTACTGTTTGGTCTAACCATAGTTAATAACTGAGAAGAATCTAAAGAAACTTCAACAAGTTCAGAACTTTGCAAGTAAGATTGCTACTAAGAAATACGACCATGTCAGTCCCTTACAAGAGCTGAACTGGATGACTGTAAAACAACTTCTAGCATACAGAGACGCCGTTGTAGCATTGAAATGCTACAATAATCTTACTCCTGGAAAAAGTTCAGATGTCGCCGTACACGAAACTGTGATCTCTTAGATACRCCTCTATACGAGACAGCGTCAGGTCAGAGAACTTTCACATACAAGGCTACAAAGACATTGAACAATATGGACAAAGAAATCAAGGATCTAAGTATCAATCAATTTAAAAAACGATGTAAAAATCATATTTATCAAGTAAATAATATTTTATAGATATYGTTATGCTGATTCGTTTAATTTATTCTCAATTTTTCTCAATGTAATAATCTATTTCTCCATTTTTATTGTAAATTTTTGCYAAAACAATTCAATTAATTAAGTATGTATGTGAAGCATAGCTCTACTTATATAGAGACTCATATAAAGCAAACAACTAGGAATAAATCTTTTTTTCACTAGAGAGATTGCCTTATCGTTAAAGATTTTTAAAATCTAATAGAAAATGGATTTTAAGAAAAGAAAAATCTTATGTTTATAAGGTGGGATTCGAACCCACCAAAAGAAATTCAATAAATAAATAAATAAATAAAAGAAAAGAAAAGAAAAGAAAAAGAAAAAATCGATCCCACTGTGCCATACCCCCGAGACATCCGCAGAGCTGAGGCGGCGTATGGACTTCGGACCTGACGGCGATTAAATCCTTCTGCCCTTGGGTGTACGAATTACGCAAGAAAATGTTCTAGCCGAAGCATCAGGGGAGAGACCAGCCGGCCCCCAGACCATATCGGCTGATCCCTTGCATCTCTGCCACGCACGGAATCGGTTGAAAAAATAATGTTAAAAAGTCTAGTCTATTCGGTGCATTGTTTTCACGCCTATTGTTATGCTGATTCACCTAGAACCGTGGTCCAGTGGATAAATCGTTGTCGTTCAAGATACTGAGTCAAGCTCGGCTGAGGAGGGTTAGCACTTGGATGGGTGACCTAAACATTATACCCACTCACGCTTTTGCTCCTTTTTTCCGTTTTTCTTTTTTGATTTTCAATACAATAGAATATAGAATARTGAAACTTTTCTATTTTTGAGTAACCTATTTCTGTCTACCCAAATCCGTCAAATTGAAATCTAGCAGAGGAAAATCCCCGGGAAAAAAATAAAAAGGACGGCACTTTAGTATTTTCATACCGACGTCACCACAGCGTTGAAACTGCACTTTTACGCGGATCACCAACGACTTTCTAATGTCTCTAGACAATGGGAGTGAGGTGCTTCTTGTCTTGCTCGACTACTCGGCTGCGTTTGACACGGTAAATCAYTCCATCCTCTTAGATCGACTATCGACTATCGTTACGGAATATCAGGTATAGTTCTGTTTTGGTTGACGTCTTGTTTGAGTGATCGTAGTCAGTACATCAGTGTTAACGGATGTAACTCTCCATCAACTACACTAAGTCACGGAGTGCCACAAGGATCGGTCTTGGGACCGCTGCTGTTCACATTATATGTAAGGCTGATTGAGGATATTATTAAGCTGTATTGGAAAATACGGAGATCTAGACGCGCAACGCATTTTTAGACTGGGCTGCCACACGCAACCCAGTAAATAGAAAAAGCGCGCGCGTGCTGTGTGTAGTTATGATCGAAGCACGCGGGGATTGGCAGAACACGAGAGAAGCGTTAGGAGAAGCACGAGTGTTTTGTTAATCCTCACATGAGTGCTTTGACTACACGCATCACGGCTAGCAAGATTTTTATTTCTCTCATAAAATACAAATTAGAGTAACCGTTATTTTAGATAGGAATAACAAACTAGAAAAGGCGCGCGCGTTCTGTGTGCTGTCTTAATGCACACGCTCCCAACCAAYCAGAACGCGAGATTCTTACAGACCTTACTTCCAACATTAATATTGTGCAATGTATATTCGTCTTTTATTTACATCTTCATTTTATTRCAAAATAAATGTTCCTCGAACTAGCGAGATCATACAATATAAGCAAGCAGTCAAGACTACAGGCTACTTAGCAATTATAGCCGAATTAAAGCCTAATGGGCTAGASTCATAGGCCATGACGGCAAGAGGACTAATTGTTTTAGTCAAATTCAMCTAGTCGGTTAAACATATAAAGCGTTTTCACGTTTTCACATAACGCCACAGCCGCCATATTGGTGTGCCTTTGACAATAACTTTGTTATTAGTTTCTTTTGTTAGGTACATCAATATGGTTGCTATCTCTATTGTCAGTTAATACTAGGGACTGAGTTAAAACGCTTTACAGAAGCAAACAAGTTTTTCGTTACTAGTAGGATATAACTTATAGCCTAGTAATAGCTCATCCAATCAGAACGCAGCATTGATGATAGACCACTGGTTGGATTTGACTGAAATCTGTTATACATTCGTAACCAATACACACCCAAAACACTCTTTTAGTGGATTTATAAGCCATTAACATAAGAGCCTTGAACTTATATGTGATCTATAACACAAGAAATCCGTTTACGTAATAGCGTCATTTGCTATCACTACCAGAATCCCTTGCCCATTTCTTGTGTTGAATAAATTAGTACCAATTGCCTTAGCTAGAGACTCTTTGGCTCTAGTGGCTTTTAGTCGTAAGTTTCGTTATCCCAAGAGGCACTACATGGATGGAGAGCCTCAGGTTAGAACCCAGGAGACAACAAGCTACCCTGTTATGACACTGATAGACATAGTTGACAAACGACTGCGCCTGCAAGGAATCTGACGATGGGCATAGAACGACGCGTCTGCCATTTTCCCGCCAAACACCGAACATGCGCAGAATATCGTTTTTCTCTCTAAACAATGTATCTACAAATAACTCCATTTTTAACAAYACAAAAAAATGAAGTAAATAAGCAATTCGGTGTTAATTTACGAAAAATGCTATCACTACGCTGATATACAAAATGCTACATAATTCTATAGACCCCTTGCAGCACGTCGGAATGCAGCTCAATTCGGAGGACATCACAATTGGGGTTTTCAATTCTCATGAAATTGATATTCTTGTCCATCTAAATTGTRCTGCTTTGACGTCACATAAGGGGTCTATTAAACGTATTCTCTGCACGGTCGATTCCCCCATTACAGAGGGGAAGAGACGGTGACCATACACACGATTGCCAAATGCCAAAAAATTAAATATACTGAAAAACTATTGTTTGAAAAGAATATTTTCGTACAGAAAACCATACACCTCAGGAAAGAACACAAAAATGGATGGACTAGAGCAAAAAATAACTGATCAACACATTGATCATTTATACTTCCAACCAGGTGGGTCTCAAATAGAACAAGTTTTATATATCAAGTTTATGGGACGAAATAGAGACTTCCACTAACAAATTATGTACGAAAAAAAACCAAATTCACATAGCGCTGTGGTTTCTATGGTAACGTTGTTGTGTTGTTAACCTAACCAGCAATTCAACCAAAAGTTAAGAAAATTGAAAAYAAACGTCAAGTATCATACTTTTCTGTATTTTTAAAAGAAACTAAATCAAGGTAATCATATTTCTGAAACTACATGAAGTACTATTAAATTTACKGAAGGCTCGACTTCAAGCGAGAATTTTCAAACCTCAAACGTGGTCTATTTGTGTCTTTACACTGAAAACGATAAAAATCAATRTGTGTAAATATTTCCTTAATGATATGAAATATATATTTATATATAAGTCAGACACAGTCCTTTTTTCATTTTGTATAATTCTGGATTCTTGATTCTAGATTTTTGACTAAAAATTCACGTGTGGTAAAAAAATATCTTGCGCGTGCATGAACATCCTTATTTAAGGATGTTTTATCTACAATTATATTTTTCCTTGGTCTATATGTTTTAAATATTTTTTCCTCGTATAACAAGGAGATAGTACATGATATTAGCCGTTTTTCGCCCGTCTAATCTTCCTAACAGGCTTCCTAGACTGGAACTGAAACTTCCATTTCACCGTACGACACTGAGAACTTTAGAACATAGGTCCAGCAAAACCAAGGAAATATATGAAAATTGTATTGCCCTTATAAGGAGAGTAGGGTCACGTATTAAACCTGTTGGCGCAACTGCCTATAGAGGCTTTACACCATCACGTGATGGTAGCTATCGCAGGAGCACAATAACGGAGCCTCTTTGCCCTGGGAAAGTGATTTTYTTCTCATTTAATTCAGATTAGACCAGATTCAACTGTTCCTGCCTCCTGCCATGGCTGTCATCACGTGATGGTGCATATGCKATTAGACATTATTCATTTTGGTGCAATGTTTTCCCATTACAGAAAGAACACGTGGCATTCACGTGACAAGAACATCAAGGTGTTTAAAAAAAATTCTCTSAAGAGAATGACATGTGGTGTGCAATAAAGAAACATTGTACCAAGAGGAATAAGATCTATTGGTAATGACTATCACCAATTATCAAGAATAAACAGACAATAATCTATGACCATAGAACTAATCCAACACCATCACAATTAGAATTTGGATTTTGGCCTCCGCCGGCATTGCGTTGACAAGGTAGATCAGAATTGACCCCGCCCCCCAAATAAACATTAAGATATTCATGTCCGTGAGCAAATGCAATTTCGTAAATGTTGATGTGCCCTTAGCCTCAATTGTGTGCAGGTGTAAACAAAAGATCCCATGTGAGGCTAAGGTATATCTGCCCAAGATTACATCAATATAGCATAAGAAATAGCCTTTTAAAATACATATATATTTTTCTCTAAAATGAAAATATTGAAATACCCAAAGATAATTGATGAACTTCCAATATTTACATACTCGTATTTTGTGGCTTGGGCTACCTGTGGCCAGACAGGTATATCAATAACTTGGCAGCTTCATTATTGTTATTTAAAAATATATATTCTGGCTTTGAAAAGGCCAACTAAAACTATCAAGGTATCGTTAGTGAGACGACCTGGGATGACCTGCCAGTCTAACGGAATATTCATGTTTTTTTCCCTTCATAGAGCATAAACAAAACTTCAAAGCAACAACTGCATGAGTCRATAACCCAATAGAGAATATACCGTACATTTTAAACAATAAACGTTCGCGAGAAATACCTTGAATTTTTTAAAAAATATCAGAGTTTAAAAACAATAAAATTTGCAATGTTTATGAATGTCTGTGATGCCTGTTAGACAGAAGTTGTCACRCAGCAGTCGTACATTTGCATTTATTTGTAACTTCTTTTTCGTAGTCTTGAAAAAAAGAGCAAATTTCCCAGTTGTACCAAACGTTCTCAATTTTTCAGTAGTTACTAATAAACAAAACATCCATGACTTCTGATTCAACGAACTCTTATTGTTACTAGCTTGAAGAAAGTTTGTTTATGCTATCGAAGGAAAATGTCAGTCAACAACGCCATCAAAAGAGATCGCCCATTTGGTCAGTTAGGTCAATACATACTCTACTCCAGAGGTGTTTCGACTTATTCTCGAACATTCAGCATACACTGTGTCGATAACTCTTCATCACATCGGCCATGGAAGACGAGCTGCTAACATTACGAATAAAAGGGTGGTTGAGCAGTTCGAAGGCTGTGGCTCGCTGAATGGGGTCGTGGATGAGAGCATGGCGTAGAAACGATATAATACGTGGAGACAACTGAAAAGAAAACACGCACACAAAAAATAAGATTTTTACAAATGTTTTTGAAATTCTGTTCTGATATTAAAATCGACTTCGGCAACCAAATTACAAAATTCGAAAACAGCTTTCAAAAACGTGCTTATTGGACCTTTTTTTAAGAATCGTAAGAAATTTCACGAGCGACGTAAGCGAACTACATTTCACAATAATCACTGAGCCTACGGAGAATAATTGTTTTAGTATAATTTTAGGATATCAGAGAAAAGACGAAATTCTAGATTAAAAGATCATTTTAGTATTACTTCTCTTGTGGTAAACTTTGAGCTCATAATGCTAGCAATGATTATATATCGTCTCAGAATCACTGGTCGCTCGACCAATCACAGAGCGCGAAACTCTATATTCAAGTCAAAAGTTATAATATGAAAAATACTTTTTGTAAAGCAAGTCCTGGCGTGCGCCGGAACAATATGTCAATTAACTTAAATTAAGATAAATGCCAATCGCCAACAACCAATAASAGCGCGTACTAAATGCTTATCGATGCCAAGGTCAAAATCCCACCCAAGGCCGTACACGCCCATTCATTGAAATGATATCTCATTGTTTTCAAGTGGCTTTTACGTCCAGTCATGACGAGTAAAGAAACGTGGAAGAAAAATACTTTTTCATACACCTCTACACAGAGCAGACAAGTAAAAAAAAAACTATAGAAGATATGTAGTTACTTTGCATATAAAAACTTCTGTTAGCACAGTTTATCGATCGACTGCTCAAGGTGATCCATTTTCCCGCKCTTTTCGGTTTTCTTCGGTAGACGCGTGCATTCATTACCGAGTTTTCCGAACAGAACACTGATTAACTTTTCCAAGCAGTGATGGTACCATYTGAATCTTATATATCATATCATATCCCATCCATAAATATCAACTCAAAGGATTATAGGCCCAGTTTAAACGTCAAATTTCACCTGTCATTTGCATTAGAATCAGCAAATGTGGAGTTCGTCGTTAAACAGGGCCTTAGTATACATATATGTTAAGTTTATATATATATATATACCTGCATATGCTTTCTTGATGAAGGGGGATCTGCGTCCCTTAGTTTTCTCATGGCTTGTAAAGGAGGTTCATTGAAGTATGGTGGCTCCCCATCTAACATTTCCAGTACCATAATACCAAGAGACCAGATATCMGCCTGTCAATAACACAGAAAACGATAAAACGAAAAGTAAGTATTTTTGAGACCAGTAGCTTYTTCACTCATAAGCCCCCTCCATTTATTCTTCATTTTTAAGTTCTTCAATTTAATTAAAGCCTATAAGCAACACAGATTAAATAAAAGAACTCAATACAGGCGTGTCAAATTCCTAACACCCAACAAAATTCAGGGTGGATACGAATCACGTTTCACGAAAAATATAAACGGTTAAATTACGTTTCACTAAATAACCGTTTACTATTCTGATTATCGAACAAACGCATTTTGAGCTGCCAGCAGAAAATTGGTATTTTACTGCTGCAATCGTTTTATAACAAATACTATCACAAGCCCTATAATAATTGAAAACCCAAATTACAACGGGCAGCTTGCCACTACGTATACCGAGTCTACATAATATTGAAAATTGCTGTAAATCCTTGATGACTGAAGATGTCAAAGCCATACCTCTGTTCCATATGGTTTCCTAGCAATTACTTCTGGGGCCATCCAGTAAGGTGTCCCTACCAATGATTTTCGTCTTTGCATGTCCTCTGTTATTTGAGCACAGAATCCAAAATCTGATAACTTAACCTATGATTTAAGATTAAAATTAATAAGGAAATCTTTAGATGATTACAATGCAACTACTGTAACCAGGGCCACTTAAATCAGTTAGACAAGAGAACCATTCAAAATGTAGAAAACTATCCATTCCATCTTTGGTTATTGGAGCCAATCAGATTAAATTAATGGCCGTTGTTATAGTCACACTGTAAGTCTTGACAAAAGTCTTGAAATCCTTGATACTTTACACAATATTTGCAGATCTTCTTACAACAGAACCAAATGGGAAGGGTCTTGGGCCTGGCCCAAGTACCATCAACTTGCAGTTATAATGTATGAATATAGCTTAAAACAAGWCTACTTACAGTGCCACGTGACGTTAGCAGAATACTGTCACTCTTAATGTCCCTATGGATGACACCTTGAGAGTGTAGGAAGGTCAAAGCCTTTAGCACTGATCTGCACACACATGCCACTTGCTCCTCAGACAAYCTATATATAAATGGAACACAGAGATTTATTTCTTATAATTTCTGCTCACTGCAAACAATTTTGAAATAGGTGGATCAAACCACTGTTAAACCTAAAGGTTGGTTTTAATTAT